AATTGACTATTTTTATATAAATGTTATAGTATCGTGATAAAAATATGAAATTCTTTTTGAGCCCATAAAGAAAATCTCGATACGTTTCACACAAAATCACTCACCCGAGTCGCTAAAAAAATTCAAAATGTAAAATCGACTTTGAGATAGCTGTTGGCATACCCAACTCTAGATTTATCGAAGCTCCAAAGTCAATGTGTTCTTACCTTAAAAGATATGTATTGCATAACATATTAGGTTGTCGAAAAAGTCCTGCGGTCTTTTTATTGAATTTTCATTTGTTCATAAAATAGGTTACAAAAATGCGATTCAAGTCAAATATGCGCCGTTTTGTTCGATGACGCGTTCCCAACGAGATGCCAACTTCATAATGCCCCTCCTATAGAAGCTCGCTTCCCTATTGGCAAAAAAACTCGGAGAGCCAATTTTCGCAGGACTCTCTTGTGGCCAACTGTAGACCACCAAGAGCGTTCGCCATGGATAGAAATAGGTGGTAATCACTTGGTGCGAGATCCGGACTATTCGGTGGATGCAAAAGAACCTCCCATCCGAGCTCCCGGAGCTTCTGTCGCGTCACCAAAGATGTGTGTGGCCTGGCGTTGTCCGGATGGAAGACAATTCGGCCTGTGTTGATCAAAGATGGCCTTTTCTGCATGAGTGCTGCCTTCAAGCGGTCCAGTTGCTGGCAGTACAGGTCCGAATTGAGCGTTTGGCGATAGGGGAGCTGCTCATAGTGGATTATTCCCTGCCAATCCCACCAAACACACAGAAGAACTTTCCTGACGGTCAATCCAGGCTTGGCCACCGTCTGGGCCGCTTCACCGCTTTTCGACCACGACCGTTTGCGCCTCACGTTGTCATAAGTGATCCACTTTTCATCGCCAATCACCATACGCTTCAAAAACGGCTCGATTTTGTTGCGATTCAGAAGCGATTCGCATGTGTTGATGCAGTCAAAGACGATTTTTTTCGTCAATTCGTGTGGCACCCATACATCGAGCTTCTTAGTGACTTCTTCAAATGGTTTATAACGGTTTGATTGCTCATGCCCAGCTCCTGACCGATACTACGGCTGCTACTATGCCGGTCTCTTTCGACTAATTCAGCGATTTTATCGCAATTTTCGACGACGGGCCTTACGGAACGCGGCGCATCTTCGACCACCTCTACACCAGAACGAAAACGTTGAAACCATCGTTGTGCGGTGGAAATGGAAACTGTATCAGGTCCATAAACTGCACAAATTTTATTGGCGGCTTGAGATGCATTTTTGCCTCTATCGTAGTAGTACTGTAAAATATGCCGTATTTTCTCTTTATTTTGCTCCATGTTCCATGGCTTTGGGTTAGCCTTGCTATTTCCAATACCGTCAACCAGCAAACTCTCTTCCGACACTTTAGGCCGCATTCTACAATGGGAACCTGCTCTTCTTCAAACACGTCCTTTTCAAGTGGTTCGTTCTTTACTTCGCACTGGGATATATGTACATACATGGTTCCCCCACCGCATGCATATCTTCGGCCACTTCCTCCTTAACTTAAGAGACAGCCAGTCGAGCACCTCCTTCGCTTTTTGATAGGTTATCTTTCGGGGAATACCTACTCATTTTTAACTGGCAGTAGAGTAGAGTGCTCCTCTCGTAAATTTGATTTATATCGAATGCATTTTGCGTATCTTTCAGACAGGAAGGGCAAATCGTTTCGGAACGCAGATCGCCTCTCTCAACTTTGAAGCCGGTGGACTCTGATATCATTTTTGCAATGGAAACTCCAATTGGATGCGGCTTGACCATGTCGCCGCCATTTTCCAGGCAAACCCTGCATAATGGCGACTCCATAACTCTGAAATTTAATAACAATAAGATACATATTTTGAAAATATTACATGAGTATTTTCTAACGGTTGTATTTGGGTATATATAACCAGATCTTAACTACATGTTTTGAATTGTTTACATTTCCTCAAACATTTTTTTAGAGATGTGAAATGTATTCTTTGTCATCGAATATATCGCGTTTTCTGTTGAGGACACCGTCGATGGTAATACGATTTACACACTTTTTTTAAAATAAAGATCACAAACATAAGTAAATAGTAAGCCACAAATATTTTCGTGTTTTCTATATTTTATGTCTTGTCGCGCTGTAAATTTCTGGGGTTTTGCTGCAGTTCTTATTTGGCTTAGTTTAAGGCTTATGGCGCTTGGGGTACCAAAGCTTATACATTTTCGGAGAGCTTGGCCGATTGGCATGTTTATTTTTCCAATTGATTTTAGTCCATTGACCTGAATTTTGGGAATAATATACTAAGATTTTCTAAACACGGCAATACATGGTTTTAAAAATGTGCCCCCATCTATATTAAGGAGCTTAATTGACTTAAAAAAGTTAAGATCCTATTGCAGTCCATATGGACTTAAAGTCACACAAAAACTGGAAAGCAATAAATGTGTTTTTATTTTTCTTTCAATATTTGTAATATAATTATTATCAACCAGAACCAGAACCTTAAAACAACGTTTTGGTACATACCGACAAACTGAAAAACAAATGAAAATTTTAATTTTGAGAAGTCCTCCAGTATTTTTCCTTTGGTATAACTCACAGTCCCGTATTTTAACAAATGAAGTGTCATATAAAAATACAACTGGGCACTTATCCCCAATGACCCCAACAGATCCAATATTTTGTTTAATTATTTTTAGTGTTTACAATGTTTATTATTAAAAGGGTTTCTCATATTAGACCTTCCTAATTAGCCTAATTTAGAGTTTCGTATTACGTTGTCAAAAAATTGTTTCTTTGCCTTAAAGGGTAAGGACCTTTTGCAACAGCGTCGGCATTGTGAACGGTAGTCCCAAGGTGTGAAATCAATCGCCTCAAACTTACATCACTAAGCAATCGATACATTTAAATGTATATTCGATCACCGCTTGCCGCACAGCTGTTTATTCTGGCGCTCTTTCCTAGTTTGTTAGAATAAGTTCGGTTTCTGGCCCTTAAAAATGTTCCGCGCCCCGGATTTGGCCGGCGGAAATGTGCAGCAGAAGCGGAAGATCCTGAGTGGCGGGGAATACAACCGGATCTGCCAGTTCATCAACGGCTACCACGGATTGGCCATCGACTGTGAGTTCGAGCTGAGGAACCGCTTTTTCAAGGACGTGGAGCCGATGGCCTTGACATGCATCCTTCAATCGGAGCTCTTCAACAGGTCGCGGGGTCAACACCACAAACAGGAACAACGGGGCAAGAAGCTCCTCAAAATGTAAGGTTCCAGAGGAAATGCAACCTTTTTGGTTCCTTTTCTGAGACTCGGCTGTTCGGCTTGGTTGTCCCTGACGATATTTTATAGTTTTAGCAACGACGACGAATCTTGTACTGAAATTCGAACCCAGATCTTCGTCAGGAAGCTCGTTCATATGTACATTCACTTTTTTTGTAGAATTTGTTCTTTCATATATGTTATATTCTGACTATGCCCAAATTAGTACACAGTTCTTGAGCTCTTAAACTCTTAACAACTGGTCCTCCATCTTTTTTAATGAAATTCAGATTGTACTTAAAGATTTTAACGAAAGATTGGACGATTTAAATGTTAACTTTTCTCTAAACTTTGTGTACCAATAATATCCGCATTTTTTGCCTCTAGCTATGAGGATCAGAAGAACGTCTATGACAACGCCCTGCTAATCCAGATGGCCTGTGTCGAGGGGCTCAATCCAGTGGCTCTCTGCAGGATGCTGCTGCTCGAGAAGTACAAGCGACGCCACCGCTCGCACATCTCACGGTTCCTGAAGCATCCACATCTCATCGACGATCCCAAGCTGGCGGCCAATGTGCAGCAGTGCATAATCAGCGACAATCAAGAGGGATCCATTACGGACCTGCGAAGACGCATCATCGGCGAGGAGTACGAACTAAAGCTAAAGACTCTGGCCACGGAGGCGGGTATTCATTTCTATGACGAGCAGGACTTGCGGCGGATGGGTTATGACAAGACGCCGGACATCAAAATGATCCTGCCATTCTTATACAAAGGTTCTGTGATCAACTGGATCGAGAGCAAGGCCAACTTCGGGGACCCCAAGGGACATAAGTTCAACATCCAACAGCAGCTTCATAGCTACTGCAATCGGTAAGGATTTCAACTAATTAAAATTCAATAGTTTCGGTTATCTTAATCCAAAGGGTTGATTTTTCCAACTTCCACTCCGTTTAAATCAATTGCTTTTTTCAGTTTTGGGCCTGGCATTATAATCTATTGGTTTGGTTATCACGAGGAAACGCCATTGCTGTCGGATAATAACATTGGCATTACTGTACTCGCTGATTTTCCGGCCAAAGAAGATTTGGTTTTCATGCAGCTTGCACAAGGAGAATTTGCCACAGCAACTCCAGCAATAACAGCGGATTCCTGTTCGACGAGTCAGCATTTAGGACAGACTATAGAAGCCTTAAGTCCGGGCAAAGAACTGAAAAAACCCTCATAAAAGCTGAAGTGTTCCAAAGCAATCAGAGACACAGCAAATAGTCGTATTACGCATACTAGATTTTTTACCAATTGAACGATATGTGCTTGTTTTTACAACGTGCATAGAAAACATACACCCAAACTTAACATTGTAAAATTTAAGTAGCCCTAAAACAATCAAATTAAACTAAATCACTTTGAATGGTAGTATAAAGACGGAGATGCTTTGCATTTACACATTAGCTGTTAGACAATGCTGCTGCAGCAATAACATTTTTTTAGTTTTAACAATTATTTTTATTGTATTTATAAATTCAAATTTACATGATTTATTAATTGTGTATAGTACAAAAAGATTTGTTTTCTTCCTTTTCTGGCATAAATCGCATATAAAACTATAAAATATTGTAATAATCGTTGTTCAGTGAACAATGTTCATAAAACAAATCATAAACAGAGCACGAGTAATTATTGTGACTCAAATTGCTTGTCGTCTTTCAGGGAAATAAAAATCGAAACAATCATTTTTATTTTGCTATGTGGTAGGTTGCTCTGTATTGTGTTAGCCATTAAGTCATGTGATATTTTCAATGTAAAAACCGAAAGTCAGCAGTGTATATAAAAAATTCAGCTGGGCCCACTGCAATTGTATTTTAACCTAAATCCTAAATCCTTTTCTGGCTGAATTTAGGTTTTTTTGCATAGGTTTCGTACTGGTAGGCAATTCGTCAATCTCTTTCAGCTTGATATATGTATATATGCACACGACAGAGTTTGTCATCAGACGTCCTTCAGTTCCTCAGGCATGTCGTTCTTGGGGTGTTTATTCTCGAAATGCTGTTTATAAGTCTTGGGATCGGGCATTTGCGACTGAAATGGAGAAGGCACAAGATTAGATTTCACATAAACAAAAAACTTATGAAAAGGAATGTTTACAATGGAAGCGCTATGGCTTGCCTTTTCCTCTAAATTAAATCGGATTCGTATGGGGCATAAAACTCTTTCCCTGAACTAGAAGGCACTACCTTTTTGTTAAGTATCGTTGCTTTTTTAATTCCACGATAAAACCACCGTCATTTCGCTTTGCATGCAAATTAATTTAGCAAGCAGACAGTTAAAAAGTTTACAACAATGTGCGGACTTTTAATATACAAAGGAATTTCTATAATAACAAATTCTATATTGAGTAGTAATATTTTTTTCGAAAAATACATTTGACACTAGATAAGCCGCAAGTGACTTGGCGCAAGTTATAAGTTTTAATTTTGTTGGTATATGTAACTGGTATAGGTCATCACGAACATTTTTTGAAAGAAAAATAAATACATTTAAAGTGATTTTAAAATTTAATAATGCTGTATAAGATTGGAATAGCCCTGAAGATGTAAAATGTTTCTATGTCGATTATGTATGGCTACGGTGTTTAAGTGATACAAGTATGAGATCATTTCGAGGAGTTTGTGCTTGTTTCTACTCCTTTAAAAAAGTCACTTGATCTATTTAGATAACAGCTTTAGAGCGGATCGATCCTTTTCAAATCTACATCTACATATGTTTAGACAAAATGATCTGTTTAGTATGAGCTACAGAAATTGTGGACTTGGGAGGTTCCACTGTAGCTGTCTCACCTTGCAAACGGCACACACATGTACGAGTGCCTTTTGGGCCGCCTTTTTCTGGTCGTTGGCACTGTGTCCCTGCTGTTTCTTGAGCTTGGCCTGCTTTTCGGAGGCCTTTGCCTGCGACTGGATCTTTTGGTGTCCGCGTGCCATGTCTTTTTCTAAAAATGGGAATTGAATTGTTAGTATAAGTGGTTTGCCAAAAGGTCTCAGAGCGGGATTAAAAAACAAAGGCGGCAGAAGCGCAGTTACTTTCTCTTTTTCGACCCTGGATTAACTGGTACAGGCTTTTCCCAATCTGTGTATGTATTTCCAGTGATAAGATTGTAAATATAAAATCGGGCCTGACACGACACTGTACTGCACATCACCCCCGCAATAGAAAATGTGGATTGCGACCACGTTCTGCGCTATTTCTGCGAATTCCATCCTCACTTACCTAATTAACCCGATTAATTTTGGTCGCCTGTGCTAAATGCAAGTGTTGCAGCCTTTGGATTGGGTAAAATTCGTTGTCTATAAGCCGTTTTGATTTGATACCCGAAATTGTTGACGATTCGCCTTAGCAATTTATTAATTTGTTGAGTTTTGTTTCGCTGCCAGGTTAAATGGGACCAGATGGAACTCTGAAAGTATACCCCAATGTAGCGCATTAATGTAATATATGCCATAGGGTGGAGGTGTAGAGACTTGGTACACCTTAGCGGTGACTCAAACCTCTTGTAGTACTCGAAAACAAATGCATACGCATTTTTCAAACAATGCAAATTTTGTTTGTTATTCGACGTCCTCTAAAATTTTAACGAAATTATATGACCGCAAAAAATATTCCAATTTAATAGATTATCAAACTAGATTCAAGTAAAAAAATTGAACGATTTATGAATATTTAACTTGTTTTAAGATTTCAAAAGTCCGGCGGATTGAAAATCCTTTTAAGGGCAATGTATAATTTCTAAATTATTTTATTATTAACATTTTTTATTCTTTTGTTTCTTATAAATTGTCATTTCTTTGTTGCTTTTATTTGTTTACAGTACAAAAAGATTTCTGGCTTAAATTGTATAAAACTGTTCTTTGTAAACCGAATCCAAAACGACGCACAGAGTGAAAAATAAATATCTAAATAAAATCATTCCTATTTATTTTGCTACGTGGTTGGTTGCTTTGTATTGTGGTAGCTATTCATCGAACACACTGTGTTAATTTCAATGTTTAAACCAAAACCAAAAGTCAGTATTGTGTATACAGAAAAATTGGCAAATACAATTATTATTACTATTATCCATCCTCTGGGCTTCGGCTTGATTGTTGGTCTTCTTCTTGGGCTGATGTAAAGTTATTGTTGCAAAGGTTTCGTACTGGTAGGCAACTCGTCGACCTTCTTCCACTTGATAAAGTTATATATGCACACGACCACATCGGGCATCAGACGTCCTTCAGCTCTTCTGGCATGTCGTTCTTGGGATGCTTGTTCTCGAAATGCTGCTTATAAGTCTTAGGATCGGGCATTTGAGACTGAAATGGAAAAGGCATTTGATAAGATTCCATTTATAAATAGTTATCTATTGAGAGAAAGATTGGGTGGAGGCTTATAACCGGAAAAAATAGTGATACTAGTATATCAATATGTTGCTATCGGCAATATATCATCAGTGCATAGCTATATTTTACTTTAAAATAAATCTATTTCGTTAAAACTCAGTAACAGAAATGATTCTTTAGTTGAACTTTTAAGGACAAAAAAAGGCGTACAGATTATTGTTACTTAAATAAGTAAGTCAGAGTTAGTTTTAGAATTTATAATATTAAAGAGTAGCAGAAAGAGAAAGTTTTTATTCGCCTTTTAAATGAACGTTGATTATGCTAAAAACCGGAATACCTTAAAAAAATTGTGTGCGAGTGAAAATATGTTTTAGTTAAACAAAATAAAATAGAGTACTGATCTAGAGTGGTTCGTTCAACTAGATCTTATTGTTGATACAGAGTATCAGTGTATTTTCTTTAAGCTCGATAGCACCATTCAAGCCGCTCTTTCTCGATCTACTTGGGTTCTTCCAAGGACTATAAAACAGATCTATAAATTTAGATCTACTGTGATGTGATGGCTCACCTTGCAAACGGCACACACATGAACGAGTGCCTTTTGGGCCGCCTTTTTCTGGTCGTTGGCACTGTGTCCCTGCTGCTTCTTGAGCTTGGCCTGTTTCTCGGAGGCCTTCGCCTGCGACTGGATCTTTTGGTGTCCGCGTGCCATGTCTTTCTCTAAAAATAGTAAAATAATAGTTAGTATAAGGTGTTTGCCAAAAGGTCATTAATCATGGGTTTTTTTCGTTAGGCTCAAACGGGATTTGCAACAAAGGCGGAAGAAGCGCAGTTACTTTCACTTTTTCTCCCAACAACCTACACCCTACTAAACAGGAAATGAGTTTTCCTATCTGTGTAATTCCAGTAATAAGATGTTAGTTATTTTTAAATTAAAAATGAAATTTCGCACCTACAACAAATCACCCCCGCAATAAAAAATGTGGATTGTGACCACGTTCTCGCCTATGATTTCGAACCCCATCCTAACTTACCTAATTAACCCGATTAATTTTGGTCGCCTGTGCTAAATGCAGCTGCTGCAGCCTTAGGATTTAGGTAAAATTCGTTGTCCAAAAACTGTTTTGATTTGATACCCGAAGTTGTTGACGATTTGCCTTAGCAATTTATTAATTTGTTGAGTTTTGTTTCGCTGCCAGGTTGAATGGGACCAGAGCTAGGATATACCAAAAATGGTCGGTAGCGAATATATTTGGGTGGGGTCTTTGATAGAAACTAGTGCTGACTCAAACCCCTTAAGGGGTTTAAAACAACGTAATGACAAAGGCCGTTATAAGGATAACGGAAGCATTTTAAAAATCTTGAATCGAGTTAAAGAACGGTTACGGACTTACCCTTGCAATCAATATATACATATATATATATATCTAAAAATCTAGATAGCAAGTTAGCTTCAGAATCCATATTTTTACCAAATATTATTTTCGTACATATTACACTAGGTTAGAATCTGTAAACATACAACATATTTTATATTTTTTCTTTTGCAAATAAAATCATCAAATGAGCATAAAATTACCTACAGTAACATAACAGAAAAGCAACAAAATAGTTCAAGAAATATTATATTCTTCTAGTAATTATACCCAAGTTTACCTGAAGCGGAAGTAAAGCCGTGGTTGCTTTTTTCGTATAACTGAAGTATCTTTTACAAGCTTTAGATCTTTGAAGTTATACATACTTTTTTGAATTCTAAGAAATATTATTATACAAATGCGAAGTATCTAACAAAGCATTTATTGTTATTGGCTTGCTAAGTCATTTTGTAAAAGTTTTCTAAGAAATCCCAAATTATATTAACAAAGTTTAAAATATATATAAAAATGTAAAAACTACATATTTATTCAATTCATATTCAGTCAAAAACTTAACAAATTACAAATATTTAAAACTATACCAGCATACTGGCATTATTATCGCAAAACTCGTAAATATTATCAACAAACAGCATTTCCTGCGTGTTTTTAGCAACTTGAGGGGTATTTTCCATTTCCTGTGAGGACTGTGGTTGTTTAGCCACGCCTCCTTTACATTCATTATCTGCCTCCGTTTCCTCCAAGGTCAGACGTTTTAAATTGTTGATCAGTGAAATGTCGTGCCTGATCTCGTTCTTCAGTTCGAGAAGTTCGTGTTCCGTCTTAATGATGTCCTCGGCATAAGCTTCGATATTCTGCTGCAACTGGCCAACCGATAGCTCCATTTCCGGTCCCTTGTACCGTTCGTTCTGCAACCGGTACAGTCGGCACTTTTCAGATAACTGACGTGTCAGCGCATATTCCTTCTCATAGCGAACATTCATATCGGCATGTAGGGATGCTAGCTTATTGCGAACACTATTGCGTAAGGGTTTATCCTTTCGCCTCTTTATGCAGTTATTATTATAGTTATTGTTGTTGCACTCGCTGGGGATCGCTGTTCTGAATGTTTCGATTGAAGCCTTCGTAAGCTCGTGACGACTTTGCCTTCGACGTCGCTGCTTTGAGACCCGATTCTCGGTCAGTTTATAAAGCTTGGCTTTGGCAGCATTTTCTGGGCCCTTATAAAGCTGGTCTGGCATTATAACCAATACCAAATCATTGGCAATCGATTGCTTTTGGCCAAGCAAACTCTTCTCCTTTAATTTGTTAGGCACTTTGGGAGGAGTTTTTGTCGGTTTTGGCGTTATCTTCTTTCCCTTTTTAAGATGCAACAGTTTTTTGAGCCACTTGAGCATTGAGAAACTCGTGGGCGGTTGTGTATGGGGTATTAGTTGCATGGCTAGGGGATCTCTGAAGTTATCTCGATGCTTTAATGATATGCGAAGCTGTAATAAAAAGAAAAGGAATAATAGCGAGGCAAACTAAAGTAAAGTTAAGCAGGAAATTAAATTTTAGGCTTAGAACTATTTCTGGCTTTTTTGTGTTAAAGGTATTTTTAAAAGATTGCATTTTATATAAATTATTTTACGGACAAAATCAAATTTAAGAACTTTCATATGTGTCTTCTGACCTACTACAATTTTTTAAAAAAACTAATGCAATTAACGGTTTGTACATACTACCCCAATGTATCTCCATCCTAACTCTTTCTGTCCATTAACTAGATAAGATCATCAAATAACAATTAGAAGCTCGCGGTCCTCAAATAACATTACCAATGGGAGGGATCATAAAAAATTTACAACATAATTAATCCGAAAAGAAAACATGAACTTTAATACAAAAATCAATAGGCAAATTGATTTCACTCGGTGCGTCATGAACAAATAAATACGAAAAGCCAGAGCATAAGTCAAATGCGAGTGGTACAATATAGTAGTCGCGGGTGTGACTTTGGGAAGGGATGTAGAACCTAGGGAAGGGGTTTCGAGAACGACATGAATTTCACATTTCTTGGCTTGCGTGTGGCGCCAGGAAAAAAGCGCTTATTATGCAATCACTGTAGACTTTTTTTCGGGCCCAGTTCGCTGGTGTTTCGTTTTTCTATTTCTTTTTTTCTGCACGCCAGGTGGGATTTCCCTTGGTCCCCCGATTGTTGCCATTACCTCATTGTGTACACGGCTCCAAGCGCGCCAAACGGGCAAAATGGCCATGTTGCCATCGTAGCTCCGCTCTATGCCGCCCCAACTTTCCGTTATAATGTAATCGCCGTAGTCACGCGATGCTGCCGCCGTATTCCTCTGGCCGCCATCTTGTTTTTCCAACGTCCGGAAAACAAAAAAATTCAATGAAACGAAACGCAAGCGGGAGAAAATAAAAGTAATTGTAAATAAGAAGCATAAATAAATAAAAAACCAAAATTGTGATATACAAAAATAAGCAGTCACGGACAGGATCGGATGAAAAAAATTATTGACTTACCTTTCGGATTGTTTCCGCAGTAAAGCCCATCGCCATTGCTCAGTTCGTCATCAATCAGCGCCTTGATTATGTCATCGCACGTCGTTTTGTTCGTCACTCCCGATACGTAACGCGCCTCGCCATCGTCCATCCAGATGGGGATTTCCTTGTGGCCTTGCTCCTAAAGGGTGGCAGGAAAAAATAGGGAAGTACGAAGATCAATAAACAGGGTTGCCAGACATCCGAAATTTGATTAAGGGGGCCTTTGTGCAATGCTTAAGTTTGATACTTTAAAATTGGTTGTTCAATAGATTCTTCTTTAAAAATATGATAATGAAGGGGTCAGCTCAAACGTTTTATAGTAGTTTTGATTCTTCTACTTTTATTATGATTTGGAATACAAATCAAAAATACCTCTCTGTTTTTTAATTTCTCATAGATTTAAAAAATGTATTCTTTTACCAGTTGCCACCTTTCCATTTGAAATTTTTAGCTTTAGTATTTGAAAATACTTTGAATAGTTTTATGCAAGTTTTTTGGTCTCTGTTGAAAACTAACCTTGTAAATTTGAACTTGAAGATTTAAGGTGAAGCCAAAGGCTATTCAACGTTTTTATCTTTGTTACAACATTATTTCCCTAAACGTACTTTGAAAATTAAGTTTAAAAGAGGTTTAAGAGATCTATATTAATGTATTAATGTTTTTAATAATGCATTTGCTTAAAGAAATCCCTAAGGTTGCAATCAATAGCTTATACCACCGACGCATTTTGGGAGTTTCCCATTGATGTTTTTAGAAAATGCATTTTCTTAAAGAAATCCCTATGACTGCAATCAATATCTTATACAACCGACGCATAATGGGAGTTTCCCAGGCCCTTTTAAGTACAGCACAGGTTCTCTTCGAGGTCGCCTGTTTATACATATGACTAGCGCCTGTGCCTGCCCACCCAATTAGATGATTTGTTTGATTTCAGTGGAAAAGCTGGCGCAACCGAAAATCAGGGGTGGGAATTGAGGAGGGGTTGGGCTGGTAGTAGGGGTCTTTGGGCCGGAGGAGGAGGAGGCACTTACCACAGTGCTATTAACGCCATAGAGGGAAATGGAACGGTGGCGACGACTGGCCTGGCCAACGTTCCCGTTTTCCCTGCCGTGTTTATTTTTGCATGCTTGCCGGGCTGGTGGTGCTGGTGCTTTTGGCGGTGCTAATGGTGGTTCCCCCACCGATTCATCCACCAAACGCTCCTCGAATGCAGCCTGCTTATTATTATTATTATTATTGTTGGTGTCTTGATTTTGACATCGCCGCGGCGGAAGAATGGGGCTTTCGGGTAGATTCAACAGCGATGGACAGCTGTCCAGATTATCATCGATGAATGTGGAGTTCTGTTGTTGCGGCGCCATATTCCTTTGGCTCGTTGAAAAACCTCTCTAGCTAATTGGCACTGCAATGAAAAAAGTGGAGAAAAATAGTTAAATATATATGGAGAACATGCAATATCCTTGTTAGACATTTTGTTGGTTCAGCTGGGTGTTCGCCTACGCCTAACGATCAATTTAGATTTGTTGCCCGCGATTAAATAAATTATGCAGTAGCCCTTGCCGTACAATACGTGCAGCTATATAGAACATATACGTGTATATATAGATGCACCTCGCCATAGACACGACGCAACCCCATCTAGATTCCTAGAAAATTGCCTACCAACGTCAGTTGGCGCCGGTGGCCCATTATTCAGGAACATTGCCGGCGTTTAGCCTGTCGCCCCATCCCGCGACCCACTCCGTTCCATCGGAATCCTACGAGGCCTACTGAGGCCCCATTCCCTAGTTCACGGCCCCACTAGGCCTCACATAATTTGTTGTTCGCGGGGCGTTGTACGGACCTTGCAGTTTGTATGCAAATTCCCTTTTTCAGCCGAAAAACATTTGCCTTTCTGGTTCATTTTCTCTTTTTTGCATTGCAATTGGTGGCCTGACTGACTTATGAATTAATGCTAATTTATGCCGCCGGAAAATGCAGCGAAGGAGCTCAAATTATATAGATTGGCGGGAAGGACCGATGAAACATTTTTTGGCAAACGAGTTAGGGAGAATATGTTTCTTATTGAATAGCGCCAAAGTAGAAGTCAAAAATAGTGCCTTCTTTTCCTAAAAAAAACTTGTATATTTAATATTACTGAAATTAATTTGAAGGATATTAATTCATTTAAATTATATTAATCTTAAGTTCTAAGTAAATTACAATTGGACCATTTATAGTTCTGTCAAAAGA